ATGTTGCATTCAGAAGGCATTTCTCTATCTCTCAGGTTGAAGCAGGTCTCTGTTATACCAATAATATCTATATTACCTACACTTGTAAGTGATCTTAGCTAATCTATCTTATTTCTTAGACTCCTACTATTTGTATAGTAAACCTTAAGGGAACTAGTCACTCGTTGCCCTCTACTATCTCTCTTTGTTTGTTGATCAATATATTTGCCATTACTTTCTTCGTCGACATTTAAAAGTACCTCAAAATATTCCCGCCATCTATTCAGTACCTCCAGCTCCCCATCAACTAACTCCCCTACCTTGTTTTTAACTGACAAATCCATTGTTTCCCTAGGCTTTCTTATCTTGTTTATCTCACTATAAAAAAATTTTCTTATTTTCTGCAAAATTTCTTGACAGTGCCTCTCCCACTCTATCATCTGCTCTCCTTTTGCTCTCCCTCACCACTCTCTTCACCTTTCTTTTACTCTCCATATACTCTGCTCTTCTTATAACACTTCTGCTTTGTAAAAACCTCTCATAAGCTCCTTTTTCTCTTTTATCACACCCTTTACTTCATCATTCCACCAATCACTCCTCTTTCCTCCTGCACCCACCCTCCTATAACCACAAACTTCTGCCCCATATTCTAATACTGCATTTCTAAAGCTATTCCAACCCTCTTCAACCCCCCCCCTCCCCCACTACTCATACTTGCACTATCCCACCTTTCTGCCAATAGTTGTTTATATCTCACCCTAACTTCCTCCTCCCTTAGGTTATACTTGCTGTTGCCATTTTCCTTTTGTCCCATCTACCTCTTACTCTAACTGTAGCTGCCACTAAATAATGATCCGGTATACCAGTTGCCACTCTATAAACATGTACTTCCTGAAGCCTACCCGTCGACGTTTTATCCACCAATACATAATCTAACAATTTTCTTTCATTACGTGTTAAATCATACCATGTATACTTATTTATCCTTTTCTTCATAAAATATGTATTACTTATTACCAAACTTCTTTCTACACATAGCTCAATTAAAGGCTCCCATTTTCATTTACCCTTGGCACCCCAGATTTACCTAATACTCCCTCCACAACATTTTTACCAACTTTAGCATTGAGATCCCCAACCACAAGTACTCTCACACTTGGTTCAAAACTCCCCACGCATTCACTCAACATTTCCCAAAATCTCTCTCTCTCTCCTCTACACTTCTCTCTTCTCCAGGTGCATGAACGGTTACTATAGCCCTCTTTCCACATCCAACCATTATTTTACACCACATAATCCTTCAATTCATACATTTATATTCCCTCTTTTCCTGCCATAACTTATCCTTCAACATTATTGCTATTCCTTCTTTAGCTCTAAATCTATTTGAAACCCCTGACCTAATCCCATTTATTCCCCTCCACTGAAACTCTTCCACCCCCTTCAGCTTCG